GTGACAAGCGCGGGAATGGGATTGTGTGAGTAAAAAATATATATATAAAAATTTATATAAAAATATAAAAAAAATATTTTGAGGCTTCGTAAATTAACACATAAACAATTTTATCCGATTAAATTCTTTTTTTTAATTTGTCATTTTTTTATTTGAATTTAGCTCAATGTGTTTAGATAAAAAAAATGGATACACGCGATATTAGTATTTTTTTTAAAATATTTTTTTCTAAAACAAAAATTAGTCTTGCAATGTCTTCTGTCTTCTGCCTGGGTCTTTCAACATGTCCCTCCTTCCTGATTTGATTTTCAGAGGGACAGTGGTCAAGGCTCGTGACAAATATCGTCACCCCGGTTGCTTCGTGTGCTCCGACTGTGACGTCAACCTCAAGCAGAAGGGCTACTTCTTTGTGGAGGGGCAGCTCTACTGTGAGACCCACGCACGCGTCAGGATGAGACCACCTGAGGGACACGACCTCGTCACAACCTATCGGGCCGCATAAATTCACCTTTGACTCACACGGACACTAGCACTTAGCACAGAGACGCACGTCAGTAACACTTTACCTACATCTAACAGATCAGTTGTCTGTGTCGTCCGTCTGTTCAGCGCAGGAATATTCCACAGCTGATAAATAACAGTCTGGACAGAAAATGGATGACTTTTTTTTTATTTATACAGTCTCCCAGAATCTGACATATTTTCAATAAAGGTCCTCTGTTGATTATATCAAATCGAACACATGTTGTTTCATTGTATGTCTGTGTACAGCACATGTGTCAAACTCAAGGCCCGGGGCCCACATGTGGCCCGCCAAGTCATATTGTATGGCCCGCGGGAGCTCAAAAATAATAAAGTCCATGCAGCAGAGTGTCTTAATCTGAAAAAAATCAAAATTAAAATTACACAGCAAGGAACAATATTTGTATTTTTGAATTAAATAATAATAAATTGCAAATTGTTTTGTTATGTAGTGGTTACAGCTATACAGTATTACCCCCCCCCCCAAACCCCCCATGGTGCTTTTCTTGTTGCAGCAGGTACAGTAGCCAAAGACGTAGTCTTTTTTTTTAGCTCAGATGACAAAAGGAATAATTAGGACTCCTGAGGTTTAATATGAGGGTGTGACGTGATGACTGCTGCCGAAAAGTCAAATTAAAAATACCCCTTCAGAATTCTTTAATTGAACTGAGCTGGAGAGACGATGAATCACCTACTGGCATGGTTCTAATTTTTATTCTAATGAAATGGACTCCAGTGACTTGTGGTCCATTTAGAAAAACAAAAAAAAAGTGGTCTTTCTTCTTGTTCCACTAGCAACGGGACTTAATTATTTCACAATAGAAATGTGGTTAATTAGAAGAATCAATATTCACTCCAATGATGAAACGTCCTTAATATAATTACGGCTCCACTCAGAGCCAGTCACGTGGAGCGACCTGGTCCTCGTTCATCAGCAAAAATAGAAAGAAAATTTGATTGGTTAGAAAATTATTGTCCATTTTTCCTTTTAAGTGAGTACCCCGCTGAGGTCACTGCACTGAGGTCACTGAGGTACTGCAGCAGCAGCAGCTCCACAGCCTCAGACAGTATAAGACAAACAGTTATTGATTTTGTGCACCAAGAAAAGCCAACTTTAAATGGAGACATTCATGTTTGACAAAGTAAATCAGTCGAGACTTTGTAAACAGCACGAGTTCTTCAGAACAGCACCACAAACAAACAAAAAATAAACATATACACGAACAAATGTGGGCGTGGACTCCCTTTGGCTCTCGAGACAGAAAAACCTGCTTACGATGAACCCAGTAATCAAACATCAGCATCCTCCTCTGTCTGGACTCACAAAACAACAACACGGTCAAAGTCAATACTGGATGTAGAAGAGATGTAGAAGACCTTCATGTCATACGTCATGTCAGGTCTTCTACATCTCCATTATTATATATATAAATATATATATATATATATATGACATATCCATCTGTATCATTATTGTAATTATAATGTAATGACGGCAGTAACAGCCTCTCAACTCTAGGGCTCATACTTTCCTCCTCATCACCTGGACCTGAAACCTCAGAGTCTGAACCATCGATGGTGTATAATAAATGGACGTGTCCTGTCAGAATGGTTTCTACTTTCATTCCATTACTCTATCATTAAGGGAAAGTGTAACTTGCACGACTGATCTCATGATTGGAATCACAGTGGGGCTTCATGACATTTGTTCAATTTGTCAAACACTTACCGTAATGGTTATAATAAACCATGCTCGTTTTGTTGCATATACAGTATCAGCTATATTTTCCTCTAAAGAGGATAAAAAAGTATTATGGGTTTGATTATAAAATAAGAAGTCGATTCTGTTTGTTGGCTGCTACCTTATGTCTTCATTCTGGAATTTATTCATTTTAAAACTCGATGCCGGATTCTATTTTTCGTATCGTGTTATTTAAACCACTTAAAGCCAGGAGTTCAGGAGTTTGAGTATTTACAGATTGAAACGACTGATCTATCTCTGCCTGTCATTCAGATAAATACATCATGATATATTCCACAGTCGTACGCAGCAACTGGAAAAACAAAGCACTTTGAACATCTCTTAATTCATCCTCATAATAACGTTTGGTAATTCCTCCACTCAACCAAACACAACGTCAACAATTATACCAATCACACATTTGTTGATTTGCACTTTTTACACACTCTGCCCTCCTCTCTCGTCGCGTCTCTGTTTTGGTTGCACTGCGTCGTGAAACCGAACGGCCATTTACACCTGCAGACCGACAGAAAGGCCGACCTGTAGTTGGTGTTCATCCACCCGTACAGGATCGGGTTTACAAACGTGGAGCACATGGCCACGACGTGAAACAGGGTGAAGAGCAGTTTGAAGTCTTTCATACGCAGCACGCTGCTGTTGATGTCCACGGCCAGCTGGAACACGTAGAAGGGCAGCCAGCTGATGGCAAACACCACCACCATGGTGACCAGCATTTGAGTGGTCCTCTTCCTGCGCTCGTGATGGTCGTTTCTACCCCTGTACGGCATATCCTTCATTTTCTTCCAGATACGGATGTAGGCAAAGCAGTTAATGGCCAAAGGCAGACAATACTGAACAATGAGCATGGACACGCTGTAGATGCTGCCGTTCATGCTGCTCCCAGGCCACTTCTCTACGCACACCTGGATGAATTTGCCCTGCTGTAGCTCCAGCGTCTGATACTCCCGAAATATGGCCAGAGGGCTGGCTAACAGGGCGCTCACCGTCCAGGTCATGATGATAACCACGCTGCAAATATCTTTAGACATCTTGGTCTCCATGTGGTAGACGATGCTGCGATGGCGGTCCAGAGCGATGACGTTCAGCGTGATGGTGGACACGTGCACCGCCATGCCTTGAGCACAGGGCAGCATGAAGCACAGCACCTGACCAAACTTCCACTCGCCGTACAGCGTGTTAACGAGGGTGAAGGGCAGACACAGAATGTTGACTAGTAAGTCCGACACGGCCAAGTTGACGATGAAGAAATTGGTCACGGTCTGCAGCTTTTTGAACCTGTAGACCACGTAAATCACCAAAGAATTCCCGGTCACTCCAAACAGTATGATGGAACTGTAGGCGAGTATCAGAGTAACCTGAACTCCAACCAGCTCCATGCTGTCGTCCAGCTTCGAAAAGCTCTCGTCGCCTGTTGTACCTGTAGCCGAGCAGCAGCTGGAGGTCAGAACTTGAACCAGGAACTCCTCAGCTTCAGTCGTGTTGACCTGATTGGCTGCATCCATTGTGGACACAGTCGGAAAAGGGACCTGTGAAAACATGAAGTCAAAACTTAGAAATTGACTTTCTAAGGATGGACCTATCTATCTGTCCAACTCCCACTGGGGACCCATATTTTTAAAGTCACAAACCATCGCGACCCAAGTCAATAGACATTATTCGTAAACTCCTGGGAAACATGATGCGAGATGACCCCAAAAAAATCTCTTGCGACCCACCTGAGGGTCGTGACCCAGCCTTTGAGAAATAATCTAACATCTCACTTGTACATTTGTGTTTTCCCTGTGCAATATTTTCAGACATTATATATAATATTTTAGATATTTTTGTTCCGTTTATTTACTGTATATCCCTTTAATTTTGATTATATCTTATTTTTTGCATTTTAAAAATATATATTTTCCCTTTAGCTTGTATCTCCTGCGGGAGCAGCTAATTCGCCAAGGATCCATCTTGTGGATGAATGGGGTACTGCGTGGAGCTGAGCCTCTGAGTGTTTCTCATCCCAAGAGGATGACTTACCATATCCGGTCTGGAGCTAAGTGGTTTTTAATGTTTCAATACAAGACAGATTTGAGTCATAAATCAGTGTCTAGTAAATTCATCACGGGACGAAAAACTTTTTATTTTGTCGTGACGCCTTCACTCATTACAAACCGGGTTTAGGAGGACGAGTTTATTTCAAACTTAGTATTTGTGAGGTTTTAGGGGTTTTGTTTTGTTTTTTTTGGGCGTGACGTGTCATAGATCTTTGCTCTTTATAACCTTTACTCAGATTTTCTAGCGCGTTCTAATCATTTTATTCTCAACGTTAATGAAGCTGCGCTTCCGCCGACTTGACGAGTTGATGAATTAAAGACATTGTAAACACCGTTTCTTTTGCTGTCCAGTTAAATTGACCCGGCACGAACAATATTAACGTTAATATGTGAAATATATCTAAAAACGATGATGATGTTTTTTGAATCAACATCCCCGCCCCCAATCTACCGTAACTGTACCTATAAACAGGTAGGAAACTGGTGTAGAAGTGATTAAGGACAAACGGAACGTGGATAAATAACAATAAACAATACATTATAAAAACGGAAAAAACACAGTGAATGTAAACACACTTCATAACTGCGCAACAACTCCCTCACCTCCGTCCAGACAGAAATCTTCTTAAATTCGCCCGGTTACTGTCTTCATCCTCGGTTGTTTGTTTTTTTTCTTTTCCAACGTAATCCAGAAAATTTTAAATCGGGTGAAAAACCAAAGACTTCTTCCGCGACAGAACAGGCGATAAAACACATTCACCAGTGCGCGTAAGCGCTCGTTTGGCACCGACGGTTCATCACCTGCGCCGCGAGGGTCTGAGCGATACTCGCGGGGGCGGGGGAGGGGGGTGAGAAGACACGCATCATCTGACATCGTCTTCCTGTCAGTTGAATGATGGATGTCGTATTCTGACACTTATTCTCTGTCTTGTTTCTCTCTCTAAAAAAGTAACTCTCAGCTGAAATATAAATGACACCGCATTCATTTTTCTTTTTATGCGTTATTGATGTTTTTCAAACAGAGATCGCGGTGCACTGAACTATAACTATACCACCGCATTGAAATACCCTCATGTACTAAGTCAGTAACTGCAGATAATTGCAGGGCTGATATTGATGTTCTTCTTCTGGGTGGACCGTCAACTGCGTCAGACCCATATGACAGGAATACTAAATCCTGTGCTATTCAATGGAGTTATTGATCAAACCTGTCCTCTACCTTTAACCATGCTGCAGATCCCTGCATTTTTCTTCTCCATCCATTCACTGAACGGCTGATTAAAAATGGTCCAACAGTACCGTCTGCCCCGAGGTCACATGTGCCGCGCCGCCCAGCTACGACGTCTGTGCCGAGGTGAGTCGGGATCAGGATTCTTATGTTAGTTCACCAAGACCCAGAAGTCGCGGTTAAAACATTAGAATCCAAAAGAAACATCCACACAGATGACTGTGGTTTTTTAAAACCAACCAAGGACTTCGAGTGCTTTATTGTGCGTTTAATTTGGAAAGGAGAGCATAATGGACACAAATAGATTGTGTTCCAATATAACAAGTCACGATTGAAGCTGCATCAATGTTTAAGGTCCTCTCAGACACACTTACTCAGTAAAAGCCTCCGGGGCTTTTAGCCAGTTTCCCCATTCACGTCTTTGTCGAAGTAGTTTTTAACTAGAGTTTGAAGCAGGTGCTCGGCTCCATGACCATCCCCAAAATGCAGAACTGCAAGTTTGTGACACTGGGAAACTAAAAAACAAAAAAGTGAGTGAACTTAGTCTCCACATAAAGAGACAAAAAACCGAGTGAACTTAGTCTCCACATAAAGAGAGATTTGGACGAACGTTCACGGTGTCCCGCTGTCGTAACATTCTGTTCCCTTTATCTTCACTCTTCTCTGCAGTGGCTTCTGTTGTGTCTCACGTGTGTGTGTTTTCAAAACTTTCCTCCACCCTCAACCGCCCCCACCTGGGTCTTATCAATTTAACAACCCATAACACCGTCCAAAAATACAATCAGAAAAATGGAAAGGTCTTCACATCAGGAAGGTCAGGTGGAAAAATGTTTTTTGTTTTTGTTTTTGTTCTGGTTATAAATACCTGGAAAAAACACGACAAGAAAAGAAAATGCTGATTCAGCAACTTGTGAGAAGAAGAACCGGCTGGAAAGTGTTGACAGAATCTGTCTCCTATAAATACAGAGGTGGAGATATCAAGACACAGGTGTGGAGCGACACACGCAGGACGGGGGGAGAAGTGGAGGGAGGGAAGGAGGAGGCAAGGAGGCAGGGAAGGAGGGAGGGAGCTAGGGAGGGGAGTGAGATGGAACAGAAACAGTAAAATCTTCAAACTTTTCTTCTTCTGTTGCCTTTTGCTCTTCATTACTGTTTCTACTTGACTGATGTAAACAACAATTTTTACGATGAAAACCAGCTGACAGCCAGTTCTGGAATGTTATGTTTTCATTTCCCCAGAGAGAAAAAAAAAACCCCAATTGGTTTCTGTTCCAGGAAATAACAAATGTGGATTAATTTGTTTGCTGGTTTGATCCCTGTTCCGGTCAGAGAGTTTGAATCCCCTCAGTCTTGTTATCACTTTGGTTTTACATCAACTGCTGTGCGTGGGAGAAACTCTTCCTCCTCCTGTCACTACGTCTTTGACATCAGATGTGAGCAGTCACTGTGACGTTCCTCTGTCCACCTACTAACTCATGTCTGGTGAAGAAGAATTTAAATTTTTTTTAGACCTGCTGGGATTTGACATACTGTTTCTACTTGACTGATGTAAACAACAATTTTTACGATGAAAACCAGCTGACAGCCAGTTCTGGAATGTTATGTTTTCATTTCCCCAGAGAGAAAAAAAAAACCCCAATTGGTTTCTGTTCCAGGAAATAACAAATGTGGATTAATTTGTTTGCTGGTTTGATCCCTGTTCCGGTCAGAGAGTTTGAATCCCCTCAGTCTTGTTATCACTTTGGTTTTACATCAACTGCTGTGCGTGGGAGAAACTCTTCCTCCTCCTGTCACTACGTCTTTGACATCAGATGTGAGCAGTCACTGTGACGTTCCTCTGTCCACCTACTAACTCATGTCTGGTGAAGAAGAATTAAAATTTTTTTTTTAGACCTGCGGACCAATTTAATTTGACAGAATTATTGACCTCCTGTAAAAAAACCAATATATTGACGTTAGTCATCATGATCTAATCAGCTGTACTTGAAGTTTTTTTTTTCTTGGAACTCACAAATATGACAAAAAATCTGAGTTAAATCAAAACAGTGTTGATGTATTAGATTAAAAAAAATCTTCTGCTGTCCACTTAAACAACAGATCCAAACAGCCTCACTGATTCATCACTGCCACTCATTTTAACACCACAATGCTAAGATACAGGACTTCTCTAACTAAACCAGTTACTGTTGAATATTTGCATTTTTGCTAAAAAAAAAAAAAAAAAAAAAAAAAAAACACAAAACAACAGACATCATGCTCAGTGAACTGTGTACCAACTAAGCAGCAGTATACTGCAGGCAGGCTAAACTAAAAACATATTGCACTTTTGCCCAGGCCAACATTTAATTAACATAATTATTTGATTACCTCTGTAACGATCCAGTGCAGTAAAATTAGTTAACCTTCAGTGTTCAGATCTGTCTAAAAGTCCACCCTGTGGTAGAGTCTGCAGGAAACCCTGATAATTTATAAACCTTTGAATCATACAAAAGTATAGAAAGAAGTATCTGTGGTACAGAGTAAAACTACAGCATCAACAGGTGGTCAGGTGGTGGCGCCTGCTATTTAAGGCATAGATATACTGTTTAAATGTTATTTTTTGTGTCAAAATAAAGCTTAGCATA